CGCCATGGGCTCCTGAGGTACCGCCCGGCAGGTCTCGGGCCGCAGGCCCTGAGGGGTCGGCTGTGGGCTCCAGGGGGCGGGGGCTGCTCGGTTTTGAAGGGGGCCGAGCAGGGGGCGACCCGCGGGTCACGTTGACCGCGGTCCCCGGACGGGGAAGGGACGAAGGCGGCCGGCCTGGCTGAGGAGGGCGGGAGCGTCGGTCACCCCGCCCGTGCCGACCTACGTCCCCTACCGCCCCTGCGGGGTCGTGGGGCGGCCCGTGGGTGTGCCCTGGCCCCCTCTTTGCCAGCGTGGCGGCGCCGGCGCTTGGAGTGTAATCGGACCTTCCCGTGGGGGTGGCCGGGGGAGACGGCAGGCCGACGCACAGCCTCTTTGCAAGTGGGATTGTGTGCGCTCGGTGGGTGTGCTGGCGCCTGGCACCAGCCGAGTGAGTGGGGGAGGCATCCGTGCCTTGTTCGGGCGGCTGTGATCTGGAGGGGCGGTTGGCCTGGCAGTGCCTTTGGGGGATGCTTGCGTGGAGGGCGTACACGCCTTGCATACAGGTCAGCTGTTTGGAGGGGCACCCACGGGAACCTGGCACTCCAAGGATATTTGCCTCGGAAGAGACCATAGAGACTGGCTTAGGGTGTGTGTATCCATCCTGTGGGCTGTACGTTTCCTCCCTGGGTGCAAGGCTTGGGTCCAGAGTTGGTTGACTCCAGGCCATAGCAAGGCATGGGGTTGTGGGTGAACATGGGTATCTGTTCCCAATTCATATTCCCCCTGAGGTTGTGCAAAGCCAGACACACCCACACACACCCCCAGGGCACCTTGTCACAAAGCAGGTGTTTGCATGCCTGATAGCTGTGTTTGAGCTAAAGGCCATGTATTATTTATCTGATAGCCTGGTGCTTTATGTAAGGCAAGAAACAGCAATCTGTGCCCTGGAGGCCCTTATGCTGACCTGCACCTGCAGAGGAGGTAGGGGACTCCCTTGAGACTTCTTCACAGGTTTATGTTTGCAGCGCCCCTTCCCATCCCCCCCCCACCTGCATGCTTGGTGGGCCCCTGAAGCCCTGCACACCAGGGCATCCTGTCAAAGGGTGCTGTGTGTAACATAATTGGGGCCATGGGGTGGGAGGGCCCCAGCAGCCTGGGCCAAGTGCCCATTTTGTCTGGCCTTATACACAAATACATGTTGCCCCCTGTATGTAGGCCCTCTTAGGTCAGTGAGGGAATCAAACTTAGAAACAGGTAATCACAAAGATGTGAAAAATATAAAACAATGAAGGGTGTACAAAGTAGTTTTAGTGCTGGAGAGGGGCAATGTGGCCAGCAGAAAGGACATGACTGACACGAGGGGACAGCTGAGCTGAAGCGTGACTAGCATTCATCTGATAATGTAGAAAGTATGAAATACATGCTTTCTACGTGTATTTTTCCAGTTCATTCTCTCAGCAGTTGTGTGAGTACAGAACTTGTTATCCCTATTTGGCAAGTGAGGAAACTGAGACCCGGATGGAGTGCATGACTTGCTTGTCCATGGCACGTGGCAGGCCTGGATGGAGTCATCCTTGAACCAGGACCTTTCTCTTGCTGCCAGACCTTGCTGCCTTGTAACTTACTGAGCATCTGCTACTAGGGGCACAGGGGTCTGAAGCCCCGTTGTCTAGCCACTAGAGGCACCCATTCTGCTGGGGAGATGGACATAATAGTGACCCCAATCCAGACATGAGGCCTGGATAGCCAGTGTGGACGGAGGATGCACTGTGAATTCCCCGCTGAGAACCACAAGCAACCTGGGGCTATTCGTGTCGTTCTTGGGGTTCTGGATGTGTTGTAAGTTGTTCCCACGTGGCAGTGGGTTGTACAAGGAACCCGTTCTAAAGCTCCCCAGGTGGATACGAGGAAGAGTTTCAAGGCAGAATGGGTGCGGATGATGTCCTTGTCCTAATTTACTCCTGTTGGCCGAGTTCTCTACAGCTCAGGGTTTTGTCTGGAGGCTGCTTTCTCCCCTCTGCCTTTGAGGTCTTGCTCCTGGTTTCTGGCGGGCCAGCCCAGCTCTCTGCCCGAGAGGGGCTCAGTTCTATTTCCAGTCCCTGCTGTGCTCATTTCTCCCCGTCAGTTCCCTGGAGTGGAAACAGCCTTGGTAAGGCAGAGTACAGCTCTTCATTGTTTTGAAACTCAGTAACAGTGAATGCCCTCCTGGCTCTGCTGGGCCTTTAGACGGGATTTGGTGTGCGAGTTGTGGAAGGCCAGCAGCTGGGCCCTGGGAGAGCTCTGTGTGGGGTCTACTATAGGACCTCCACAGCAGTCAGTACTCACTGAAGACCTGCTGTGTGCCTGGCACTGTGCTAGGCCTAGAAAGAGAGGCCTGAGTCGTGCGATGTGCCTTCTAAAAGGCTGTGGTTGGCTAGAGGACCCAGAGTGCCACAGATATGTGCGGGACAGTGCTCCACTTGTGGAAGAAACAGAGGGCCCTAACGGGGCCAGAGGACAATAGGAACAACAGCTTGTTTATTAGGCATTTACTGTGTGCCAGGAGCAGTTCAAAGCGCCTTCATAAAATAGTACATGTCATCCTTCCCCCGCCCAGTGAGGTGGGAGCAGTTGCCCTCACACTTTGCAGAGGAAGCAGCCTAGGAGTTAAAGCTGGACTGGTTGGTGGAGCTGAACTTTGACCTAGAGGGTGTGACCTCAGAGCCCATGCTCTTTCCTCACTAACCCTGGGCTGTCCCAGAAGTCCTCCTAGAAACAAAATGTCCTGCGCCTTGAGACTCCTGCAGAAAGGGGCATTCTAGGCCTGAGCAGAGGTGTGGAGGTCAGAAATACCTAACCTCCTAGGCCTGGCTGTGGTAGGCCTGGGCATGAAGACCTCTGAAGGCCCTGCTAAGGATTTGAACTTGACTCTGGTATGGTCATCAGGAGCCCTGAAAATTTCATAAACATCCTCAGCAGTGTGTTACAGGACATTACGATCATCTCCCTCCTCCTTCCTTTATTCCCGGCAGAGAACTCCAGGAAGACCCGGCCTTCCTCTCTTTTGCTTTCCCTTAGGTCGCTGGCATTCCTTTTAGTTTTTGAGGCCTTCCCTTCTCCAGTGCTCTGGGACCCAAGTTCTTTCTGGGTCTCATGGGTTCTCACTGACTTCTCATGCCACAGATCTGGAATGGACGTGGGCAGCTCCCTTTTCCATTTGAGAGCTGCGGTGGCTGTCCATCGTCCACGTGCCCACGCTCACCAGCACTATAAATACGGGCAGAGAGTGGGGACAGAGTGGGAACTGGAACCCAGAAAGCCAGGTTCATCTATTGGATCCCCCATGGATTCACTGAGGAGATACCTGCTCTGCCTGCCTCCTGTGCTTGGTGTCTGGCCGCTAGCATTTATGCAGCCACTCTAGCCTTGGGCCCGGAAGGCTAGGGATCTTTGCACAGGATCAGTGCTCAAGCACAGCTGATGGGTATAGGATGAGAGGGGAGGAGTAGGGGAAGTCTTCTGAATTGGGTTCCTTGGGAGAGGAGGCCAAGATTTCAGGAGGGGAACAAAAATGGTTACTGGCAGCACAGGAGCATGGAACCCCTTCTGGGCATTGGTGAGAGAGGGAAGTAAGGAGCTGAGCAGTCGGTGACATGTGGAGAGAATTGGGAGATGCAGTTCAAATCCTCGCTCTCTTATTATTCATGTGGCCTAGGACACGTTGCTGACCAGCTTCTAATTCTCATTCTTTAAAAAGAGGGGGGCCCTACCGGCTGGGTGGCTTAGCTGGTTAGAGCGTTGTCCCGATATGCCAGGGTTGTGGATCTATCCTGGGACAAGGCAATGCAAGAATCAATCAATGAATGTGTGGGTGGGTGGGCAGAGCAATGGATTTATGTTTCTCTCTGTCTCTCTCTCTCCCTCCTTCTCTCTCTGTCTCCCCCACCCCTATTCTCTTTCTCTAAAATCAATTTTAAAAAATAGGGGGGAAATGATGCAGTTGCCTTCATCTGTAAGATGTAATAATGTGCAGCAGTCATGCGACTGTCATGACCCAGTGTCTGTGTGGAGCTTAGCACAGCTCCTGGTACATAGTACATGCTCAGCAAACACTGGCTTTTATTATTACCTTATAGGCTGTTCAATTATTCAAGAAAGAGTTATTGCACGCCTGTGAGCCAGTCAGGGTGCAGGGAGCTGCCCTCACGGAGCTGAGTCCAGCTGGGGAAAGAACAAACACTGGAGCAATTATAGTTGTTACGGGTGCTCTGAGAGAACGTCAGGGCATTCTCACCTGGGCGGGCACTTCTCTAAGGAGGTGACATTTAAGCTGTCACCTGTGTATGGGAAGGAAGCAGGTTCCAGGCAGAATGAACAGCGTGTGCAAAGCAAAGGTCTGAGTTCTTGTCTACAAAATTGTTTGACAGGGGCTCAGCACCTAGTAGGCCCTCAATAAGTGTTAATTGAATGTGATCTTCGTAGCCTCAAGGACAGGAAGGAGAAGGAGGAGAGTGGGAGGAGGCCATGGGAGGAAGAATTGGATGGTCACCAAGTTTTGGGATTTCTCATGTTCCTTCCCCATCATCTCTGCCTCTGCCGAGTGAGATGCAGTGCAGGTACCTAATACAGTGCAGTCCTGGGACCCTGCTTTGCCTAAGGACTGGTGAGTGGGGGCCCTGTGCAGAGTAGTTGAGATGCTGGAATTAGGTAGGTGTCACACCCAGGCAGCATTTGTTCGCATTCCTGTTGCTGTTTGGCTGAAACCCTACACTTGGGCAGAACGTAGGAGGATGTCACGGAGCCTCTGGTTGGTTGGTTTTCCAGCCTTAGCTTAGTGACAGCTCAGTGTCTGGCACCATGCCTTGCACAGAGTAGGTGCTGAAATAGTTTTTGACTGAACAAATGAAATGGTTGGAAGGGTTAATGTCATTGCCACTCTAGATAAAGGTGGAAGGATTCTTGAGAAGTGATGGATATTAAGGCAATCAGAACAGGATTGCTGATTACAACTGAATTTCTCTCAGGAGCCCACGGGGCACATTAAACAGCCTTGGGTTTG